ATTTTCGAAGATACATTAAATTTTCTTTTTTTTGTTTTCTCTTCTCAACTTCTTTTTTTGATGACTGCAAGTTCTACAACGTTTCATTTGTTGGATTTCCGAGGCTTTCAACGACTTGGAAGAGGTGTCTCATTGACATATATATCTTAACAAGCGTTCATATCTGACCCTCAACATCGTGAGGCTTAATGAGTATCCTCGACCGACTCGTTGATCACTATCCTATGATCAAGTTGACTGTCAACAGCCCACCGGAAAGTAACCAATTTCTCGTCAAAGTCTGACTGCATCAATTGACAGTATAGAATCACGAACATAGTCGCCTGCGTCTGCGCAGTCTATAAGAGACACTAAGGATCGAGGGAAATTGTATTAACCAGACCCGTGACTTTTTCCTGCGGACAAAATGGATGCCCCGAACAGCTCGCTACACCAGGAAAAAGAAGGAGACCAGCAGCCCAGTGAATTGCCCATCCTTGATGAGAAAGACAAATCACAGGAAAATTCTGACCTCGTGCCATTGGTAAGTGAAACGATCTGGCTTCAAACGCTTTTGCTGACCATTGCAGCCATCTCCTTCGCAGCAGGAAGCAGAAACAAGACACACCCTGGCGACCGAGCCGTTTAAACCCATCTTGAAGGTTCTAGCAGACCTCGAGAGCGACTATTCCAAGTTCGACTTTCCAGCAGCTCGACTTGTCGGACTCTATCGACGCCTATGGGAGTCATGTGTGTCCAAGCACATCGATGGCCAGAAGCTAGAGCAGGAAAACATGGTCTTGAAGGAGACTGATACGAAGCTGAGACAAAAGAGGGTCGGTCTTCAGGCTCGTCACAGCAAGCAGCTAGCCCGACTGCGCTTTTTTGAGCAGGCGTTGAATTTATCCAGGCAGAGGCTGGTTGGCGTGCTCGATGACTGGAATCACCCCTCGAGACTCAATCTAGCAGGATTGTCTGACAATGCAAGAGAAAAGTGAGGGATCGGCTGTTGGAAATTCAAGTTCTTGTTGTTTAGACGCAAAAATATTACAATGACGTTGTAATTGAAGAAGAACTAGAACATGAATAGCAGCTTATATTCCTTGTGTCTGTGAACAATCGCCCATGTTTTGGACCAGTTTCAATTGTAATCACCCAATGCATTATGCACAAAGAAACTCCGGATTCAGGGACAGTGTCGTCTGCAGCGTACCTAGCGGGCAAAGTGTCGATTGACTCGAGTACTATACAGGTTCCATACGAGGCCACAGGGACAGTCGGAAACTAGTCCCTATTGCACCAAAATCAGGCCGGGCGATCGTGTCTAGCAACTGTTCGCGTACCCGATAGAGATTCCCCAGGGCCGTTTCAATTCTGGGTAGGATGAACAGGCGCTCTCCTATCCTCTCGCCAGTTCTCCGGTCAAATCGCACTAATCGAAACTCTATCCCGTGCACTTCTACAGGGAAAGCGAACGCTGACATGTAGAAGAACATGTCGCTAGCCTGAGTAGACATGGACAGAGGATCTGGACCCATCCACTTGAAGGCCGACAGCTTATCGTAAGTGGGGTCCAAACAGCATTCGATCATGTAGGAACCTCGAGTCTCATATTCTTCAGGCTCACTCTTATTCGAGAGGATTTGCCGATGATGTTCGAAGTCGGTAGCGAGACAAGGAGGCGGTGTCGGTATGCCAGAGGAGTCTTGCCAGATGGCATGAAAGTCGAAATCCAAATCACAGTCTACCAATTTCAGCACAAGCCAACCACTGAAATAACGGGCACAGACCATTCTTCTTTGATTTATGCATTCTTGTTGAAGACTCGCCGTCGAAGGCAGGTGGGGATTTACAGAAATGTGGAAAGTATGATTTTAGGAGGGTTGGGAAGGACAGAATGCTGCAGGGTAGGCAGGTAATTTATTTATCTTGATAACGAAAGTTGATCAAAAATTAGGAGGACTGGATGGCCAGATGCTAACTTGTTGAAAACCAAACGCTTGGCCTATCAACAGCCGTGAAACGTTGACACCCCGTCACCAAACCCAACGGAACTTCACCGGTGGTTGTTTGGGCCGTTATCGCCCACGAGCGCTGAACAACAATGGGACTTGATCAATGCCCATCAGCATGGCAGGCTTAAGTCTCGCTCGCTTGTAATGATGAAACCACGCCATTACAAAGGGCTTGAACTGCTCGCTTTTGATCCCAGAGTATCAATGCCTGCTCATCGCAGAGCTGTAGAAGTATGTCGCTGTCGCTTGCTAGCCACTCATTTGACTCTTGAAGCTGTCGCTGCTCTTCCTCGAGTCGTATCTTCTCGGCGGATTTGACGACGTAGCATTCCCACAGGCAGAAGTAGAGGTCGAGCAGTTTGAGGGTTGGTGTAGCCAGGGCATCGTTGTAGTTTATAAGTTTCATGAACTCCGCCGCAAGGAACCGGGTTTGCGCACTGAAACCTATGCCGTATTAGTGATCTCGTTCGTTTGCAATCGAAGAGGGCCTGACTAACCTCAGCTTCGATGGTTGCACCATCCGAAGATTGCTGTTGGTGGCTTTGCGCCTCGTTCTCATATTCTGCATTGTGGGAAACTCGACGCTGTCTCTTGACCGGCCGGTCAAATGGGGAAGGCAACGTTGGATGGTCCATCGCAGCCTTTGGAATGAAATACAAAAGACATTGTACTCGAGGGTCTTTTATAGCCGGCAATGACACTGAGCTGCTGTCATTGCCAGCCCTGAGTTCGACCGCCTTCAAAGAGTCAGTGAACGGTTACCTCAACGGCTACCTCAACTGTTGACGCTCGATCTCACCTGCTGTCCACCACGAGTTACTCAATTGAATGTGGAAATGGGCAACAGACAAGCCCTGGAGACAAATAATGTACGATATACCTTCCATGATAGTTTGAGGGTGCAATTTTGATGGATTTTGTTTCATTTTGAATGGCAAAGCTATTACCCACATTGGCCAATGATGGGTTACTCATGATGATAGCCCAAAGAATGAGATGTAGTGGTGGATCATTGGGAGACCCAGGTGGAGAGTTGTAAGCGTCTGGCGTGCGGGGTGTCGATAGGAAGATCTCGGACTTATGATCCGAGCCGGTGCATCGGCTCAACTCGCGGGCGACGCACAAGCAGATAATCAAGGAGAGTGGCACCGAATTTGAAGCCACACAGCTCGAGCAAATCCATCACATGATCCAGGGTAGCTCGCCAATGCATCTCAGATGAAGGGTTGAAATAGATAGGCCCACGCTAGCAACTGTTTCTCCACCGCTGCCCAATCAATACTAGTACCTTTTGTCAATATCCCGTTGAGACTTCACCGATAACTCCATAGTATTATGTAGTCTCACCCGTCGACCACGGGCTGTCTTCCGCGCTAGAATATTACAAGCATCCTCATTTACCTGTTCGCAGTAGGATATATGTGGCTGAGTGAGGTCTTCTATTGTATCCTTCCACAACTTGATTATTTAGTTCAACCCTCCATTCTATCTGATAGTAATTGCAGTCCGGGGATCATTGATCCCATGCATTTCTATCTGCACTTTCAACTACAGAGTCAAACCCCTGCTGGTCGGGTATTTATTGATGCAGGGAAGGTGAACATTCACCAACTATGTCCTCAGGGTCGGATGGAGGGCAGATTACTGATGTCGTCCATTCGCGGTCTGGGTCAATAGGGTAGGGACATACGAGGGAGTCCGTTGCGACAGATTGGGCAGTTCAATTTGGTAAGGATCATCGTCATCATCGTTAAAAGAAGTGTAAGCCATCGCCTCAAGGCAGAAGTACCACTGAGGAGTCCATTAACATGGTTGTGTATCAGTTTCCACCAAGTGCGATCCGGGGTAACTGTGGCTGACAGGCTGAGTATTGTGATAAGCATTTTCAGGGGTAGTTTTTACTGTAAGGACAGTCACTATTTGCAGGTCGGATGCCGAATAAGCGGCCCAGACTATCAATCAAATATAGGAGAGGCAGAGAAGGGACCGTTCGCCAGATTATCGAAGAACTCCCCAGCTCTAGTGTTAGACTTGTTTGTATCTCCATGGAAAATTCCCTGTTCCCCTGGATAGCTAATATAGTTACAAGACGAGGTAGCATATTTTGACGAACTGGAAGAGTGGTCAAATACCACTGAGACCCTTTGAGACAGGCTTACTCATCGTTCACCATCCCCACCAGTAATTGTACGGCATTCCGGGCACATTCGGAAGTCCGGTGTTGTGACACGCCGAAGCTTATTTTTATAGACCCCTGAGATCGTTCAACCGATCGTTATCACCTACAATCAATCATCTGATTCTAATGGGCATTTTCAATATCAGCCATCACAATGGTTCCTCATCTCGACAATGTATAATACACCGATACCCATGAAATCCATCCTATCGGTCTATTAGTGAGTCACAAACACGACTTGGTGGTATTATTCAACCAAAAGGCGGGGTCGGGCAGCTGTGCATCTGGCGCGCAGTTTTCCGAGACATATAGCTGTCTCGCCGTATGTCCGCTCAATCGAATAAATTTTTCAGTCTTTCCTATTATCTCCAAACTATGGTAAACAGAAGAAATAGGAGACACAGCTCATCAACGTTATCAACAGAGAGCGATCCTGCTCCTGACCCCCCGAAGCCCACTGCCGTCATTCAAGAGAGAATGGAACAGAGAAAGTACCAAAATGTCGTTCTGGATATTGTTGCTAGGTAAGAAATATAAAAATTCTCTAAAAATCGCAAGCTTTTTCTCCTGAGTTCCACTCATCTTCAGAAAGCCTCCACCTCAACCCTGATTACAGCGATCTCAAGATAGTTTGCCAAAATCGAGTCTTCCCAGCTCATAAGCTTGTTCTTTGTCCCAGATCCAAATACTTTCAAAGCGCATGCTGTGGTTCTTTCGAGGTAATGTAAACTTAAGCAGAATCTCAGACCGAAGCTAATGTGCCTGACTCACAGGAATCCCAGGGATCTGTCAATTTGGACACTAGAAGCCCGAAATTAGTCGAAAAGATGCTACAGTTTCTTTATACTGGAGACTACACAGTTGAAGACAATACGACCAAAGTACAAATTTCACCAAGCGATAGCGATAAAATACCGGAACTAGATACATGGCATTCGGAAGCGGCTTTGCGACTCTCCCAAAGAGACCAAAATGAAGTGGAGAACCTTTCGGCTGAAGAACATGCCGTTGACCAAATTGCAATGTCACTGTCAAATGAACTTGCAGCGAGCCTTACGGACGAATGCTCAGTGAACAAAAAGACTTCAGTAGCTGACGAGGGCCCTCTAACAGGCTCCAGCGAGCAAATGGATGCTATCGACGAATCATTCGCTGATTGCCACCCATGCTACTTTCATCTCCGTATGTATGGAGAAGCGGATTACTTCTTGATCAAAGATCTGAAGATCAAAGCAGCAGAGAACTTTCGAGATTCATTTGAAAATTGCTCCGAAAAGCAGATCTTGGCGCTGGTCATCAAGGAACTCTATTCAACAAATGCCGACTACCGAGATATTAGGAAGTCAGTAATAGAACTGATTGTGAAAAACTTGCGAAAACTTCATGGAGGGCTGACCCCGGGGATTGATTATGACCTCTTGAGAGCGTATCCAGCGTTTGCTGCTGAATTATGCATAGCGACCATGGAAAAGTATTTGGGTGTGTTGTCCAGCCTCAGACAGGCGCTACCCCTTTCCACGGTTGAATACAAGCCATTTGAATTCAAAAACTTCGAATACCCATGGGGCATAGGAGAACATGGGGAAAGTGGAGAAAGTGGGGCCGAATGAAGGATGTTATCGAGAGAACCTCCATCAGTCATGTCAAATATCCGTTGTTGACCTCTCGAGATATGGCCCTGCTTGAGTGAACAGAATCAGTCGGTATTTTATTTGATTACTTTGGAAGAGACAAGTTTCAATAGTCGAACAGTCGTTGCAAATAGGGTCTGTAAGCGAGATATGGACTAGCGTGGAGTAAGTAGACTGGTTGGCCTCATGGGACTACATCAGTCCGTCCAGAGCTCTTGCATCTGACTTGATGACGCTGCCATCAGTACCTGGGGACACTTTCCATTGTTTGTTCGCAGCTCGAGAAAGTTCAGTAACCCCATGAACTAGCATGGTGCCAGCTTGTAGTCATTTGCTTTGTTTTCAATTTTAGGAACGACAGCTGCCCTAGTGTTCGTGAACTCATTGTTTCTATCTCCTCTCGCATTGGTGAAGCCGCTGGAGCGACAAGCGCCTTGAGCGCTTCAGACCTCTACCAAGCGGGCCACACCTCTAATCGGTATCGCAATTAAGTTGAATACATGCGATGAATTGGAAGACTGCTGGATATGTTCGCTAAACAAAACAATGAACCGTGGACCTGAAGGCCAATATTCCACTGTGAGCTGGCACTGCGTCGATAATTAGCCAAGTTTATAAAATAGGTTACGAAGCTTAGGCTGCTAATATCAATTCCAGCTCGAGCGTCCTTTGCTCATACTACCCGCACCCGCTTTGAGTGATGTTCTTTAGAGTCACGTCGTAATCGTTTGAGAGCCTGCGACCGTCTGTGCTGCGGTCGACGGTCTAAAGTGCATAGATGGAAGTCAATGATCAGAGCTCGCTCGAGCTCAGCGTTCCAGAGGATGTTGTCCGGACGAAGATCCTGATGAACAACGCCGCAACGACGGATCTCCTTCACCGACCGGGAAATCGCATCCCGAATGGTCTTTTCTAAAATAGTATGGCCCACGCTCTCACCACCCCAGCCCATCAGAAGCATATGACGGATCCTTCCAGCGCCGTGGAGGAAGTAAGTCTGGGCCAGATTGATGGCTCCGAGAAAGACGGGAACGGCCGATCCTTGGGCACGTTGGAGGACCCGGTAGATGTCGGCTTCAGGCGAGACCTCCCCCCAGAGTTTTGAAGTCGTCCCCTTCCCGACAACCGTATATCCGAAGGTGGCACACGTAATCTTGAATGGTGCGCCGGAGGACCCACAAGGGCCGATGGGAGTGCAGTTATGATCCAGATCCAGATCAAGCTGCACCTTCAGCTTTTTCACCAAGTCAGCTGCACTGATCGGATGGCAGTCCGCCTTTCCACCGAGCATATGCAGCTCCGTGTTGGGGCACCCAGGGTCAATCGTGCCGCCTTGCTGTAGCCCGAGAAGACACTTTTGTGTGCAATATGGCGCATCGTGGGAGCGAGATTGCCCGCTTTGGGTCCCTTGGCGATCTGCTCGCAGGGCGGACCGTTGGGTTGGAGGGGACGATTTAACTTGACTGTAACCCCGCTTCCGTCCCGCGGATGCGGTAGGGTCGGCCTCGGAATCCGAAGAACTCTCGCGGTGACGGGGACTGGATAGTGGCGCGCAGCTAGCGGCCGCTCGGGTGGTCACTCGAGGGCCGCTGGTGATGGGAGACGAGGATGTGAGGTACTCAGAGGTTGACTGCTCAGGACTCGTGGATTCGGAATTAGCATCTTCCACGTCCAGGCCCCGTGGTAATTCCACTACTACGATCTGAGCGCGATCGCTATCAAGGATCGAATGCCATTTCGGTAGACCGTCTTTGGCGACATTCCGCCACGCCTGGTCACGAAGAGGAGCACGAAAACTCATCAGACAGAGACACAGGGCCCTCTCGACTCGAGTCCTCGGGATTTCAGGCCCTGCAACACCCGCCATCCCGTATATACCGGGATCGCCCAGGTGGTAATAAAGGGTGGTTGGGTCGTCGTAGGGCACCCAGAGTTGCACGTCCAACAGGCCATTCGTCAAATATGAATACTCCAGACCCTCTTGAATCATCACGTTAAATTCTTGTACGATGGCTGACCCAACCAGCCGCTCGGCGTGATATCTTGATTTTTCTGGCTCTTCCGTCGGCACACGATCAGGTTGGACAACTTCGCGCCAGAAATCCATCGGCCTAAGTCCCCTCCGCAGGCTGGCCACGGAGAGCTTGTGGGGGGTTTGTATTCGACCGTGGTGAGCAGAGTACTCCTATTGCCGTCCATTCGATGAATGCAAAATTGATCTGGCTTCGAAGGTCTAGAGGTTGAGGGCAGGCTAGCATCGGCTTCATCATCTTTATCCAAAGCATTGGCGTGATTATCGAACCGCACTCCGTTGCCTAACCGAAACTCTTCGCGGGCTTCGGGTATCTTGCACAACTCAGCAACTATGTCGTGCACATGATCTTCGACGGCGAGTCGCTCGTAGGTTTCGAGGTCTTGTTCGCTGCTAATCGGTCGGCGTGCGAATCGTCGACCATGGTCTTCCAACGCAACAAGGGACGTGAATAATTGCGGTGCATCTTCTCCGGCCGGTTGTAGGTAACGGTAGACAGATCTGTAAATTTCCTGCTGCCTAGCTTCACAGCCAGTCCACGGAAGCAGTCGTACAGGACAGTATTTTCCGATGGGGGCAGGGATTTTGCCAGTCGTGGAGCGAGACGGTGTTTGGGCTCGGAGCGGCGTCCAAAGGAGATCATGGCAATGTCGGATGAACTCTGGAAATGTTGTCGGTCGGTTGCGTTCCTCTGCTTGCCGTCTCAGCTCAACTTCCTGCCGTCTCAGCTCGACTTCCTGCCGTCTCAGCTCGGCTTCCTGCCTCTCTCGTTCCTCTGCCTGCCTCTCTCGTTCCTCTGCCTGCCGCCTCAGCGAGGCCTCCTTGTGAAAAAAGCGCTTTGTAGTCCGGTGAGCTGCTTCCACTCATTATCGAGAATAAATCGAGGGAACATCGAAGTCTGATGCCTCCCTGTCGTCACTGTCAGCGGGGCGGCATCTCGGTGAAAGTATTTATCCGTCAAAACATATCCCTTTTTCGCGGCTGGACACATACGTGATTACGATCAGCACTGGTCTGGCCCAGTGGGATAGCAAACATGAGAGAAGTTTCTTCTGGAAAAGATTCGATTCCAAGATTTGTAAATTCCTAACTTCTTCTGTTTTCCAAAATATTCACTATTTGGGGCACATTCTGTGTCTGATGTTTCATCCCCAAACCAATTTCATCGTGTTTCCTTCATGTATATTTTAACCCACAGAAACTGTTGAGCTGCCAAAGGCAATAATGAACCAGGCCACAGAACGCAAATTGGGCGGAATTACTATCTTATTCCAAATGTATGAATTGACTTAGTATCTCAGAAGGCTACATGTGCCTTTACATACAACATTTAGCCATATTGATTTTCAATCAACTTAGTCGTCTGCATAGACACTTCAGAGCTAACTCCGACAGTGCGACTTGGTTCCTGATCTGCACCAGCCTCACATGAGTCATATCACAATAATCGCACCCTCTGCTGCACTATATCAATTGTTGGGACAAGTTATTGCGCTCTAAAATACGGAAACCATCACTAATTCCATGCCATTGTACATAGGAACAGCCACCACGACTGTGAAACATACTTGTTCGGAGTTCCATCGCCGGAGAGGAGATAAGACCAGGGCGTCACTACGACGCGTGCTCCATCGTGTCTTTTGCCCTCGACCTCACCGCCTTCACACCATGAACAGTGGCACCCGTTCGCCGTCCCTATCAGAGCTTTATCATATTACTGTACAATTTCCTGTCACAGGTAGTTCGCCGCGCGCCCTTGCCGTCTCGGAAATTTCCTCGGTGAGCCTAGCGCGCTTTTTTTTTTTTTTTTTTTGAGGGGCAGCCTACGAGAGCGTACGACGAGCATGATAACGACCACAACATGAATTCTGACTGCATCAATGAAGAAAAAAGTTGGTTGATTTTTTCGATAAGCTGAAATGACCACGAATCTAGTTGACCGTCTTATCTCAAGCCTAATTTTGCAAACTTTATGAAGATGCACGTGGATCTTCGTAGACGACCAGATAGTGCTGTGTGCGTGCATTCGTTGCTATTACCAGATATTACCCCTCATTCTTGCACCTCCGGCATCAATCCGAACACATGTGCCGGTAAGCCTCGTGAGCATCCTTCGCTAAAGTATTCAACAGCCGGATGACAAGATCCTGTCAGTCTGTTAGTAGTCAGCATCAGGGCCAAATGAGGCAAGCAGCGTTGCTATTGAGCACAATCTGTGGTTCATGTGTAAAATCAACGTAGGAGATTGGCGTGACTCAATACTTACTTTCTTTCTCTTTATAATGCCATAGTTCTGCAGTATCGTGACACAAGTCTTATAGCCCTCTGATATATTAATAGGACCTAGCACGCTGATGAGCTACGACGTTTCTGGCACGTTATGGTCCCCCAGAACGCTTCATGGGCCCCAGGTAGGTAGAATTTCGATTTCAGGAAAAAAGAAAATACTTGTTTGATGACACAACGCTTCCAGAAGCGCTGTATGAGAGATAGGAAGCTACTGAGAGCGTTGCTGGGCGCAATAAAGGGTCCCCAAGCTGTATTGCCTTCTGCCCTGTGCCTTTTAGCTAGCTTTGCAAGGTTCTCACGCATAAATGAAGATATATAGTGTCTCAGGTTAAATTCACTCTCAATACCAGATGTAGCGCGAAAAGCAAAAGAAATAAATGCTTGCTTGTGTTCAGGGAAGCCTGGATACACTTTGTGGGCTCTCTCATATTCTCTACACTCCTTATCTATGCCTTACCTATATACCCATGACTGGCTCCCAGGAGCTTTAGTAGATTACAGCCTTCAAAGAACTGAAGGTACTGCGACCTTGACGCGACAAGCAAAGCTAGACAAGTAGACACCATGTTAGACTATCTGGATTTGCGGTATCAGTTCAATATCCAATTTAATTGGCCAGCCGCGTCTTGTCCGGGGCCAGGCCTTTGACTTTGGTTGTGCATGTCGTTGGGATTGGGTATATCTCGCGGTGAATAAGGTGAATTCGGCGCGGAGCATTTGGCCTCACTGTCATACCCATGCTTCTCAGGCTCTTCTAGTCTGTCGCTTGCCTCACAATCTTGATCCTGAGTAGCGATCCCGATGGAGTTTGCGGTTTGATCATTCTTGGATGGCTTCATTAAGTGCGGAGGCAGGCTAACTTTCAGCACCAAGGGGCTAGATCGGCTCGATCTTGAAGGATTTTTCGGCATTCCACACTCTACCTGGATTCCCATTCGCCTAGCCAGCTGCCTCAATGAGTTTACACTGTACTGATTCCCCGTGATCTTCCAGTAGTCGTCTGCTATCTCTGGCCAGGACATATGATTTCGGCCACGCATAAAGTCTGCAAATGCTGTTTTCTCTGCCCTGTTCCAGCGATGGCGAGACTGTAGGCGAAGCACGTCTTTCCCCCCGGACTTTGCGCAATTTTTTTCTCTTTCTGATGCAACATGGACCTTATGCAGCGTACGTTCCTGGGTTTGCACTAGTCGGTGATCAGGTGGTGGAGGTTGTGGTACACAAATCGGCAAGGTGCAATTCTCATCACCCCCTGAATTCCCGATTGAAGGCCTGAGAGGTGAAAACCGTGAAGACATGGTCGACACTTGATTGGCAGGCTCCATGGGGGAGGTTGCGGTTCCGGCCGGAGCCGAGAGAATGTTGCTATATTCTTTCAGTTGTTTCACAACTTGTTGGATCTTCGCAAAAGCTATTGATGTTTAGCCGCATGGCAGAGGGATTTTTCACGATATTTGAAGCCTCTCACCTTGCATCATATCTTTACTCAGCCCAGACATGTCGCCTAGCAGGGTAGTTATGGTCTCCCGTTCTGCTTTCAAATCCTCTGGGAGGGGCCCTGAGCAGATAATTTTCCGAAAAACTGGAGAGCAAACTGCTTCCCGGTCATGTTTGGTCATTTCTATTGTCAGGCCTTGCGCCCGGTAATAGAACATCCCGTTCCCGCGCGGTTCGAACTGGTCAGGGTGCGCCTTCCGAATGAGATCCACCCAGCTCGAAATAACTCCATGGCCATTCGCCGGATCTTCCATCTCAACGCTACGCGGGCAAGGACTGCTGAAGGAACCACCGATGATGTCTTCCACCCGACTGCCGAGTAGAGGTACGTTTAGACGCCTCGCGATACCATTTCCCTCATCGAGAGCCGTAGAGTATGAGCCCAATGACCCAAGAATAAGCTCAACTGTTGCGCGCAAATCAGAAATTTTCTGTAATTGATCAGGTTTTGGACAAGCAATTAAGTCCAGTTGAGAATGACGCTGATCATGAACCGACAGAGGAGCTTCGGCGGTGTCACGGATTTGTTCCATGTTTTGATGGTCACAAAGTCCTACCTTTGGGCTCAAAAGGTCCAACATACACGATGACTCTTTTTAGAGACGCGCACGCCAGTTTTTATTGTGAACAAGGGGAAATATTCCTCGCACCCCCGAGTGCAAAATTAGTGCTGTTATATACCCAGGATTATCAGCAGCTTTATGTCGTTACCCGGCCCCACCTGTCACTGAGCTAGCTATTCACATGTGCCTTTCGGCCAAGTAAAGAGTTTGTTGGATCGCGTACTGGTCTCGAAAAGTTTATTTCTTTATTTCTTTGTTTGTTTTTTTTTTTTTTTTTTTTTTTTTTTTTTTTTTAATTCTATTTTAGATCTAGACCAAAGCCAACCACATGTGAAATTTGTCACTTGTAGCGCCGTTGGTGATGGGTTCGATTAGCGCGCAAGAAGACAGGTTAGCTCTCCTGCTAATGCAAGCACATTGAGACTAATTTTTGATGCGAGACTTCCCGCTCGGGAAATGTGATGCGGCTCTCCGCAACGGAAGTATTTGCAAAATGTTGCACCTGAGGGTGCACCAACCTTTGGCTTGATGGCATGGCAACAATTATGAAGATTTTCTCCTCACTCACTGACTTTGATTAAAAAAGATTGTTCATCCCTGACCTATATTGGGGCTTGTCTCGCTCCGCAAAAAAGAGCTAAGCCATGGCGAACGTTTGCCGATCAACAAGCCACTGCTCTCGACGGGCCCACACATTTGATCCTATCCCGTCTTATCTTTTAGTAAATTTCATGACTTCACCTATAAGTATTATGCAAGAAGCTTTGAGTGATGGTTTACCAAAGGGACTTGGACAAGCAAAGAATGAAGGTTGACAAAACCATAAGAGTATTCTATGTATTCATATTGATCTGTGTTGTCTGTCTCTGGCCCGGGACCGGGCACGGTCCGCACGGTGGACTCCCCCCCCGATGTTTACCCCTGAGATTAGGTCCTTCCCCTCTGTCGTGCCCCATCGCACACTTCTTGGGCTAGGGATGTGATGATGGCAATACCGCACAAATTGCAAGGTATTGCTGAGTAGCCTGAATGACCGATTAATGATTCCGGTGGGCAGACCAGGAATGTGAGGCATTTTGAGCAGACTTTAAATGAGAATCAGTCTGAGGGGGCAGCTCTTGACTCAACAACCTCCTTACTACTTGACAAACCACCCATGGTTCCAAAGTGGGTCTGGGGGCCAAACAAGGCGAGGGACAAAGGAAATGAGGCGATCCAGTTAATCCTCGCCAGTCTTTAGGCGCTGTTGGTGATCATAGCAGTCGGGATCAGCCGGAACACGATCATATTTAGACTCGGTACCATAATTTCAGGCATTGTAGAAACTTAGCCAATCGACATAAAGGATAGTGTCATAGGGGGCGGAAGTAATAGCGAATGCTTTTGGGGTTTTTCGTCCACTTGATTGCATTCTGGGAAAACACTCGGACGGCTAGTGCGTGACCCGGGCTAATTCCGATACCCCCGACACGCTAAATCATGAACGGGCTGTATTATCCTGCAAAAGCATTGACTAGGATTATTGGGCGCCGTCTGCTGCCATGTTCCATTGTCAGAAAATCAATTTGCAAAACTGCATCGCCATCAATCTTCGCTTGATGATCCGACCGGAGGAGTTCCGGGCATCATCGCTGATTGACGGGAAACTAGCCATCAATGAGGGGGAGCGGCTGAGGCCGTCTGCTGTTCTCTCCTCTTTCCCTGCCCTGTCTTGCGCAGCATTATTGAAAATGCTCTAAGACCAACGCATTAATTAGTACTAGGTTAGTGGGAATAATACCGCCAGAATTCTGGTTTCCCGCAGTGCAGCCTCACTGAAGCGGGAAACATCCGAACTGCGAGCTCCCACCCATGCAGTCTATAACATCGCGCGCATTCCCGGCTTCGCCGAGGAGGTCAAAGAGTGGCATGCAAAAGGCTCATTTATCACAGGCTTTGCCACAATATATACCAGCCACGTTAGTGGCATCACCATACCAGCGACTCCACGACTCCGTCTTGTGCTCACCCGGAGAACGTGGCCGGGTCTGATGCGTCGCCATTGGGGCCAGCCCCAAGCAGTCTCTGCCAAATCAGTCATGGCCAACCGGCAACCACCCAGCTGCAGCGGAGGCACACTTATGCCATCGTAGAAAGGATCCTAGTTGCGACGCTTGAGGGGAACGCAAGGTCAAATGTAAAGCTTCGGGGTCATCTAGTTGTACTGAATGGAGTAATGGCAAAATTTCTTGTCAGTTCACCAAGGAGACAAACCTTTGCATATCGCATATGAGACAGGTCCGAGATCTTGAGAAGCAGTTACGGAATTCCAAACAGCAGTTTCAGCACCCGCAGGCTAGAATGATGCGGCTGGCTTGTTTAGCCGATATGGATGGAGGCGTTGCGCAGACGACAATCAAATGGCCCGAAATCGAGCACCTCCCCATATGTCGGTCAGATGCGCCTCTTTCTCAAGGTTTCTCCGATGTAGATTCCAATCTCTGCTATGGTGGCCGTGGTAAGTTTTATGCAACGAGGCCTTTCCGTGTGCAGGGTGCGGAGTCACTGGTGAAAGGTGATGCAGAGGATCTGCCGCAGAAGTACCTGGCAGACCGTCTCTAGGCGCAGTACACTTGTATTGCCACTAGGTACAGTAGAATTCGAAAACAGTTTACTCCTTAGGCAAACACTCTTTGATCCCAGGCCGTAATTAAAACAGAACTTAGCCCAATTCGATCAAGTCGTAAACAAAACTAGCCTATGAGTGGATAGTAATTTACCGTCCACCCGGAAAAACACTAATCCTGTTTCGGGCACGACCCGACAGACAAAAAGTGTTTGCCTAAGGGGTAAACTGTTTTCGAATTCTACTGTAATGCCGGTGTTTCACTGGTTCATTTTCATCTCAGAGGACGAGGAAATTGATTTCTCGGGCTCATCTTTGGAGCTTTCGCTTGAATGAGCAACTGTTCGATTGGTTGCATTACTTTTCACAGGATAGAGCCGAACTTGAAACCACTGCGAAGATTCTAATATACCAAGAAAAGCTGCCGAAATTCCCATCAAGTCGATGGGGTTGACTCAGCTGCCAGTGTGAGCTCGCTTCCTGGGGTTACTAATTTTCTCGAAGTGGTACAGCGCGATAAACAACAGTCCTCTTTCCTTTGCAGGTAGACGACGAAATCATCATAATGAGTGAAGTCCAGTTGAGTTTTGTCAGCCTTGTCGCGGAATCTATGAGACAGATGCTTGAAGAGATGTCGCATGCGGTCACGCTTTGACAATTCATTGTGGAAATGCGACTCCCCCTGCTGTATCCAGTTGGAGAAATAAGTAACTGACTGGAATGGGCGTTTCTAGGTATCCATGTAGCGCGTCTTGGCCACCTCGGGATAGACTCCATTTGTAGCTGGTGAATAAGAAAAGTGCAAAGTTCACCAAATGTAACCTGCTCACTGGGCATGTCGCGTATGTGTCGCTTCCACTCATTCTGCAGATTAAAGGCAACGTGCTTTAAGGCCCGGGTGGTTTTGCGCTCGTCGGTAATGTACCAGCCTGGATATTTGCCAAAGTGACGTTCCAGGCCCCTAGCGTAAGTTTTGAGTTCCCGGAGAGCGCGCCCATGGTACACTGGTATGTTCGGGACGGGAGAAGTTTGGTTGTTTGGATTGGCAGGGGCTTGATAAGGTAACGTGGCCGATATTTTAGCAGTAGTAAGAACCCCTAGTGTTTCCAATTTTGAATTCGCGGGGCTTTTCAAAGCGGTATTCTCAGGTTTAACGAGTGAAAATTTAGGCTGGGGCGTGGGGAAAGAGGGACGGACAGTCTGCTCAGACGGTGCAATGAAAGCACTGCTGGGAGCTTGAACAATAACAGCTTTGCTATAACCGTTTTGAATCGGCGTAACGAGTACCCTGTGATGTGTATTTTCCTGACAATGGGCGAGCGATCTTTGATGGTGGCCGCAAGCCGGTTCCGGGCCACCTCAAGCGCCACTTGCTCATCAAAAATCTCCTGCTGGAGCCCAAGGAGCCATCGCTGCTGTATGGGATTTGCAAGCTGCGCCTGGGCCTCTCTAATTTCCGTGTCGAGTTCATCCGTGGGCTGTGACTGCGTAAATTTAGGTTCGACGGATTCAGTCAGCCGCGCCCATGGTTGTTGAATGGGCAGAAGAGTCTCAGCGGAGGAGGATTCGGGGTTCCTGTGCTCTTTCTCTCCCAGCGACATTATCGTACTGAGGGGGATTCGTTTTGTTTCGAGGTTGTCCCAGGAAATCCAGACGAGTCCTATAGTCATGTGGTGATAAGGTACGATAATGAGATCACGTGGTGGAGCTCGATCAATCTCCAGATGGTAAATACAACCAACGAATTGACTGATAATTTTGTTTCTCACCTGTTGGCAGGTTTTTCTTTCTCCTCTTGATTATTCTGACATTGGTCAAAACCTTGGTCGAGGGGATTTTGATTAAGTATCCTGGTGAAAGACTCATTCCCAAGTTTTCAGGCCTATTTGGCCAGCAACCCACGACCGTGGAATGCCCATGTGATCGTGATGCAAAAGTGGGTTCGCTCTTCATAGCATGATGTCTGATTTCAGTTTGCACAAGCCTCACTGTCTGTGAAGCATCTACTCAAAACCTCAAACCACTACTCAGATATTTAGTAGGAAAAGAGACGGTGTGCTCAAAATTCCGAGTGATACACCTGTCAATCTCAAAAATATTTCTCATTAATCTGACTAGTTCTATCGAATCGGAGACTGTTTGCCAATTCCACCAATTTAGCGGGTTAAATGCAATAGTTCACGGACTATGGATGATGTACATTAACACATCTCGTATCGTCCGCGAAAGTTGAACACCCCCCCTCACCATCAACACACCATCAACACCAATGTCATTGTCCGCCAACGCCACCATCATTAACCACATCCCTATAATGTATGTTTGCTGTCATGAAATCTTATGGGCCTGAAAATTCAACATACCGCACCGAGCATAGATATGTTCACAGTTTCGTATCTGCTCACCTCTGGTTTTATTAAACAGTTATATCTTTTCTAATTAGTGTCAAAGTTGAAGTCCTCAAACTTTTGGATGATTAAGTAATGAAGACCTGTTAGTCAAGGAAGACTTCTTATGTATAAGCGCTACGACTGTTTAAAGTGATCCTGTCCCGTCAATCTCAAAACATCGCTTGTCGAGAGTGCCACAAAATCTCAATGAAAATCCGATTTTCCGATATGGAAGCCAGCCATTACGATTCAGAGCCCCGACGCGCACTACAACACAAGCCCGTTCACACCAATGGCTCTGTCGACCCAAAAATCCATTTCTGCGGCAGCGGAATTCTGCTTTTCTTTATTTTCCATATAATTCGGTGCTCTTCGTCAACAAGCAATGCGATCACAGCACTGATTTCTCTGTTATCCAACCTCTTTTGTTTTGGTACTTCTGCTTTTTCCCATTACTTACTTGACTCGGGGAAGCAGCTCTCATCCTCCTTCTTCCTGTTGGACCACATCGGAATTATTCTACACATATGGGGGGCGTCCGTATCGGTCTTGCTGTTAGAGAATTCTGGTAGTGGGAAAATCATTTCAGTAATTCTGGAAATCACACTGACCGGGATTGTCTGTGCCACCCATTTGATAACCTGGCCAAGAGCGAAGAAAGAACGAATGCTGGTTATTGGGGTGTTTGGTGCCTTGGCCCTATGCAGTGTCTCACTCTACAACGCTGTTTACTCGAGCACCTCTCGACTGACGGCATCTTATATCATCTTTGCAGTGGTCAATGGCATCGGAGGGTGGTTTTACTCCCGTGAGTCCATCCAAATACCGAGTCTACGTTCAAGCAAGCCCTATCTTGTTTCGGGGCATTCGTTGATGCACCTATGCTCACTGATTGCATCAATCTTTCACGCTTCAATTCTGGCTTCTGTCTGCATCTGATAGACTTGAGCAACTGGATGCACGAGGATCCAGTCCCGTATGCAGAAAGCATTTTGGCTAAAATCAATGCCACCGACCTGGAGTTCGCCTTGCGAGATGAGGCTGGTTCGGAGAAATAATAAAGCCGCGCTATCGGAATTGTCTCCCGAGTCTAGTGAAATCGAAGCGCCCTGATGATTCTTGGTGATCTTACTCTCAATCGGAGCTTCTATGGTGCCTGTCATGAACGCTTTTCATACCTTCTAGCAAAGAGCTGTCTGTTTCTAGAAACCCGAAGGTCTCTGCGACTTGGATGATAGGGGGCGATGTTGTTTAGGCGACTTTTTAGCCAATAGGGGTTGATTTCGTGGATACCATGATTTCAGTCAGACAAATTTAGTCGCGGAGGCATCAATCGTTTGACTGCCAATATATCCCGCTACCAGATGATCTTTCAAGCCACGCTAACAAGAAACCACGCCTTCTGATTTGGGGCTCCTCGTAACAATCGAAGTGGTAACTTGTGTCATTTTCTGTCGGTCTGTAAATGAACGCAACCGGAATGCTAGAGCTGAAAGTGTGCTGCTGCTGCGGAATAGTGGCTTCACGACTTAAGATCTAATACTATATCCGTTTTTTTTTTTTTTTTTTGGCCGAAATTCCTTGGCTGGCATGGTTGTTCCGACAATGGCTGAATAAATTTAGTAGCTAAATCGGGGATGGGGACCCATTGAGCCACAGATCATCATTTCGTGATATATAGTCTATTCAAGTCCGATGACGGGCGAAGATTGATATGAAGCGGGCATTATTCCACCCCCTGCATTTTGAAAACCCACATCTCTGTAACACAATAGTTGTGTATATATGTATCGAAGCCCTCAGTATAACATCTGTGGAGCATGCTTTAGTGAAGCCATTACTGATGCCACTATCACCCATGCGAGATGATTGAAGGGCCATGAGCCAGGATAAGTGTGGAAGATAGGAGAAATGCGTTCTCGAGACTGAAAACTCCCAATTTGAACAACATAACGTAATATCAATTCGTTTTCTAAATATGAATCAGCACCAGTCTACTACAACATTGATAAAATTCCTTCTTGACGCTGCTGCAGTCCCCACCTTACCATGAGCCCAATACACCGAAAAATCCTACAATGAGATTAAATCAGACGTTGTGAGCCCACAGTGCACTGAAGGGTAAGGACTGTACATCCGAAGGGCGGTAGCTAAGGGAAATGGCTCCTTGCTAACTAATCCACAGATTTTATCAGATTGCAGAACAATCCGAAATAGGTGCGGTCTGGAAAGTAGTCGAGGATGGCTCCATAGCCGATGACGAAGAGTCCATCGTCGCCAAAGCGGAGGAAGACTTGGTGGAAGACGACTTAGTGGAAGATGACTTGGTGGAAGCCGACTCGGTGGAGGACGACTTGGTGGAGGGTATCAAGGCTGAGGCAGTGCACCGGCTGCCATGCTTGAGTTCATTGTCCAATGTACATGTCGACTTGTCTCCTTGAAAATTGTAGAAGGTGATCACCCCGGGTTTTTCGACCTTAACCCATGCAGCCGATGAATTGTTTTCCGTGCCGCAAGCCTCTGCGCCACGCAAAGGGTAACCTGAATGAGTGCTGTTGGCGACTTTGTCCAACCCTGCAAATTCATTATTAATTTTTTCTTGATCTGCATTCCAGGCAGTAACTTACTTGAGCAGTCATCTCCATCAAGTTGGCTGAAGAATGCGGAAGACCCTGTGCAGCCATGGTTGTCATAGGACCATATCGCACATTGATTATCAATATCAATGATCTCAAGAGTGCCACCAAAGGATGCCCGTGCATAGGCACTTGCGAGCATCACAATGAGAGAGAAACGCATCTTTTATCGTCCGGCAAACCTGGAAAGTATGATATCTCAGAATGTTTTTTTTTCTCCGTCGTATGCGCTATTAGCCTTGGTTTGCGTGTCTGAAGTTATGCCGCTTGTGTGAATTCAAGTAAAAAGGTGGCGGGAGCAGTGGCTTTTATAGAGTTCTATGAAGATCGGCTAAAGACTTTGGGGAAGGCAAATGTTGAAGAATATGCGTCGGTCGTCTGACCAAAGTTGAGATACACCGAAGACCATTAATTTGCAAGCATGGTCATTTATTGAGGCCTTGGAAGCAGCCCAACATGCATCAACTCAGTTGACACCAGCCAAGACAAGGGATCTGACGAATATGTCTTGCCGTGTCTGGGTTTAAAATACGTGGGCAATCAGTTCTGAGATGATCAGGTCCCGAAATGTGAGGTACTTCCTTTCAACATCTCACCAGCTCTTACCTCACCACCCTACCGAAGATCAATGATCTGTCTCAATTTTGTTCCGTGTCATCGTGGTTTAAAAATTCAAGTTAAGTATACATGGAGGAGTGTTAGGGTGCCGAATGCCTGTAAAACCCACCATAAAGCAGCTCGATGGCTAGAAATGAAGTCAAGTTTATTATCCTGCTCCACCAGTAATATCTACTCTATGACCATGGTTTGGTGATAGGCTGAGAACACTGCTTTTTCGCGACCTTGAACCTTGGCTCTTTCAGAACCTCGAAAGGCTGCACCCCCTCAACCTACCGCCATCATAAAAGGAGACCTCAAGCGCCTAAAAGGTATCCCGGGGAAGGTCCTGGCAAGAATATTATGAAATTTCTCCTAGCAACTCACTAATCGATCCATTTCATGGATATGCAGCCCAATGTGTCCTTTGAAGAGTCTCTTATCTACCACGCTACTATGGGAGAATTTGATTGATCTCTGCAGGTCCAATGCGCTTCCATAAGATGCACTAATATAGTATAGACAGCTATCAATCCAGTCTGAAAACATCTGACTCAAGCTACTAGAAAGACAGCAGACCTAGGAGCTCTGGGTATTTCCAGAAGCTCTCTTGCTCCCGAAAGCCTGTGAATTTCTCTAGCCGCAAGGAAGCAACCTCTAAGAGCTTGTCAGAGATCGAGCATATATAGTAGCTTGGGTGTTTGGTCGCTGACCAAAGATTGTGCCTTTTTGGCCAGATGACGTAGTGGTGAAACCCAAGCATCCATGAACCATCACAAAACCTATAGTGTATGCACCTAGCTTGATCCGCTTCCCAGGAACGTAAACAGTCCCTGGATCTTTTGCGGCACTTCATACCCCGCATAATCAGTTTGACTTTGCGTCTGACCTTCGAGTTGATATAAGGTAGCAAAGGATTCTCTTCCATCTCTCAGCTTTCCATCCAAGTCACCCACCAGGCCAATCCGACACGGAACA